CAACATTTGAACATACATCTGCTCAGCTTGAGTTGGGTGGCAAATAAGCTCCTTCTCCCACTGACTGCTTCTTGGCAGAGGCTCCTGATCCTTTGCCACTGATTAAGGGTAGTCTCACCCACCCTCAGGACAGAGGGAGAGAGAGGTACTTCTGTTGTATTTTCATTTGGGAAGAGGTGTTGGTGGTGGGGGTAGGTAGGTAGAGAAGAGTTCTGGGTCCTCTCTCCTCCCATACCTGCTATTCTGAACATGCTCACCTAGCACATAGTTAAGAAAAATGTTTAGTTAAAAGAAGAAACCATTCTCTCTTTCAGAATCAAATGCTGAGAAAAAGGTTTCTTCAGTTTTTTCTTTTTTTTTTTTTTTACTTTCCTTTCTCACCTCCCCCTCACTTCTCATACCCTTACAATCTGGCTTCTGATGTCACTGCTCGACTGAAACAGAATTCTCCAAGGTCAACAAGTATTTCTAAATCGCTAAATCCAACAGCCTTTTCCCAGGCTTCATCCTTTTAAAATTTCTCTGTAGTTTTTGACACAATTGGTTACTCCTGGATACTCTCTTCACTCTCAACTTTCATGACACCAATCTCTCAGGATTCTCCTTCTACCTATCTGACCTCTCCATTTTACTCTTTCTCAGTCTGTTTTGCTGGATCATCATTCTTGCTGACCAATGAGGGTCTCCTAAAGCTCTGGTCCGGGCCCTTATCTCTTTTCTCACTATACTCTTTCTCCATAATCTCATTGGCTTTCATGGGTTCAACAATCATATCTATGAAGAAGACTTCCAAATCTACGTGGAAAGCCTTTATCTGTACCCTGAGCTCCAATCTCAGATCTCCAACAGCCAGTCGACTAGTGTTTCCGTAGGTATCTTAAACTCATTATGTCCAAAACAGAGCTCATCATCTTCCCTCTGGAACCTTCCTATCCTTTTTAATTCTGTTGGGAGCATTTCCTTCTTTCTGGTGACCCGGATTCACAACCTCTGAGTCTCCCTCTGTTCTTTCCTCTTCCTCATTTGATGTATTCCATCCTGTTGCCAAGTCTTTCCTGCTCTACCTTCACAGTATCTCTTCCACTCATTCTTTTCTCTCTATGCACACAGCCATTTCTCTAGTTCATTCGGAACCCATAACCTCTGATCTGAATCATAGGAACCCCCATATTTGGACTCTTGGTCTCTCTTTTTTCCAATCCATCCTCCACAGAGCTGCCAAAATCATTATCCTAAAGCACAAGTCTAACCACATCCCTCCTCTACTAAGAACCTCCTGTAGCTCCCTATTACCTCTGAGATAGTGTAAACACAATAGCTTGACATTTAGAGTCCTCTCTAGCCTATCTCTAGCCAGGTTGTTTTTCCCTTATATCATTCCCCTTCTCTCTGTCTACTTACTTTACCAAAACTTAGAACAGTGTGAGCTTAGCATGCCAGAAATGCATCCCCTCCTCATCTCTGCCTTTTAGAATCTCTAGTTGTGGGGCAGCTAGGTGGTGAAGTGGGTAGAGCACTGGCCCTGAAGTCAGGAGGACCTGAGTTCAAATCTGGCCTTAGACCAAACACTTGACACCAGCTGTGTGACTCTGGGCAAGTTACTTAACCCCAATTGCCTAAAAATAAAAATATTTTTAAAAAAAGAACAACAGAATCTTTAATTGCCTTTGAAGGCTGCTAAGTGGTCCGGTCCATAGATAGATACTGAGCCTGGAGTCAGGAAGATCTGAGTTTAAATGTGGCCTCAGAAACTAGTTGTGTGACCCTGGGCAACTCACGTAACCCTGTTTGTCTCAGTTTCCTCATCTGTAAAATGAGCTGGAGAAGGAAATGACAAACCACTCCAGTATGTTTGCCAAGAAAACCTCAAATGGAGTCACGAAGAGTCAGATGCAACTGAAATGACTGACCGACAGCTGCCTTTGAGGCTCAGATTGGCACATTCTATAGGAAGCCTTTCCTGATCTTAGTTGTCAGTGTTCTTTCCTTCCTCAAATAACATACATACAATATCTGTTTACATGTTATATTGCCCCAAGCAAAAGGTCCTTGATGGTGGAGGCAGTTTTAAATTTTGTTCATGGAACCCCAGTGTCAAGTACAGTGTCTTAGACATAACAGCTTGACAAACACCTATTGGATGGAACTGTAAGTTATTAGATCATCTCCAGATGTGTGCTATTCAGTCCTAGCTCCTCAAAGTAGTGTCTGGGTGTGTCTGTATCTTCCTACAACTCTAAATGAGAGGACCTTCCCTACCTCTTGCCTTAGACACAAAATCTCTCCTGATAGATGAGTCCTCCAAGAAACCTTCCTTGATTCCCTCTATTAAAAGACGTTTAATGGCTCCGAGTCAGCACTTACTCAGTACTCACAATGTGCTAAGTACTGTGTTAAGTGCTGGGAATACAAATCGAAGCAAAAAGAAAGACAAGGCCTGTCCTCAGGAAGCTTATATTCAAGTGGAGGAAGACACCAGATAAAAGAAAGCTAAAAATAAGGGTGAGGGGAAATACCAAGAAGGGGAGCATGGAGGAGAAAGAAATCTGGACAATAGTAAGGTGAGAGGTGATGAGGAGCTGAACCCTGGTGGTTACAGCAGGTACTCTAAAGCTCTGGGTTATTTTTCAGTATGGAATACAGGCAGTTTTCCTTTCAAACTTACTACAGCCAGAGTACTATCCAACTTATATCAATGCCTGATAGGCTTCCTCATTGAGAAATCCTTCTCCAGAACATGCTTCCAAAACCCCTTGTCCCTAAAACCTTTTGCCACAGTTTAAGTCAATTTCCTAGAGAATGAAGATCCCATTAGAATTTTCAACAGGGCACTTGCAGGTTGACTCTTTCCTTATCAATCCATAGTTCCTTTTGGGTTCCTCCTCCAACCATTTCTCTCTTTCTTGATTACTTTCATCTGGAAGCAATCTCTCTTTTCTGGGTTCCCTTAGATCTTTGTGGTAAGTGTTTTAGAAGGCACCACAGCATCATAAATTGGTCATGGAGATAAGAAGATATGGTTTCAAACCCTGCCTCACACACTTAGCTGTGAACCAGTCCAAGTCACTTAACCTCTTTGTACCTTAGTTTTTTCATCAGTAATTTGTAGGGGTTGAATGATTCTAATGAACCACTGATGAAATATGTTACCCATCTCCTGACAAAGGAGGGATAGATTTTAGGGTGCAGAATGAGACATTTTTTGGATATCACCAATTCAGGAATTTGTTTTGCTGGAATATGCATATTTGTTACAGGGGTTTTTCTTTCTCCCCCCCCCCCTTTTTCTTAGCAGGTGAGGTAATGGAAGGAAGTGAAAGCAGATTTTAGTGATTGAAAAAAAAATTAATTAAAAAAATTAAGAAATTAGGGATTTGAATTTGATGGCCCCCAGGTCCCTTATAGCTTTAAATCTATGATTCTAAGAAGTGTATTCTGCCTCTATTACAGTTATTTGTATTTAGGTCTCATCCACCTTACTGAATTATAATGTTCTCTAGGCAGAACCTCAAGAGAACAAGTCCAGGTCTCTGGGTTTAGGGGCTTTCCCCCTCACTCTTTAGAAGGCCAAGATGAAGGGTGTGCATTTTATCAACAAGAAGATCTCAATTGTTCTGTCTGCCACAGTGCCTAGTACCTATGTCCTGCCTTTGACAGAGACTTAATAAATGCTGGGGGAATGGAAATATCTCAGACTTTGTGCTTGTTGAGGGAGTTTGATTTGGTATTAAGGGACAAGATAAGGAGACTGTGTGCCCCTGCCTCCTGTTGCTTAATTAGAGCCTCCACCTATAGCATCGGTTCCATGAATTAGCCTTCAGCCGCTGTGTGTTCCATGGGTGATTGGACAGAGTGAGCTCTGGCCTGGGAAAGAAACATTGAGTTCTAGCCTGGAGAGAATGCATTTCTTTTTACTCTTTTTGTATCCCCAATGCTTAGCACATTGCCCAGCACATAGTAGGTGCTTAATAAATATTTATCGGTTGATTGTTTGATTCTTACTAAGACCTGAATCAGAAGAAGGGAAGCTGAGATAGAGGGGACAAAAATTAATAGGCAGTCCCAAAGAAGTTTCAAGGTGCTCCTCATTTTTTTACTCTCACTTTACTTATACCAAAATGCAATTGGGAAGAAAAAGGCCAAGCTTTGTCCTGGACAAGGTGAGGTGGATAGCTTTTCTCCTCTATTTATTAGTTCCTATGATTTACAGCTAGAAGTCCAACCCGTTCATTCTCTAGATGGCAAAAGTCAGGGAAGAGATGAAGTGACAGGTCCCAGGTCACGTGCTGTAGGTAGTAAATAGTAGAGTCAGGATTTGGATTCAGGTCCTGTGACTTTAAATCCATTGCATTTTTCTTATACCACTCTGATATGGAACCTCTCATCCATTTAAAAAGTACTATGAACCCTCAGGAAAGTTGACAGTCTGACATTAGTGTTGTTTATATAGGATGAGACTAGTCTTATGGGATTGAATAAGGAGTTTCCTCCTATAAAAGATCCATTCTCCACCCCCAAACCTAGAAGAGTTCATAAAGGTACTAGATTTCTAAGTACTGGAACTGGCATGGTTTGACCTTCAGAAAGCTGCTTTCTTCCCACTCCCCCTTACATGTCCCAAATCCTAGTATCCTTCATAGGATCCTATAACCCATCCCCCCACCCCCAGCCACCCACACAAGCAAATGCCACCAAATATTATAAAAATCATTTTATTCCAAAATGCAAAATAGTGACAATTGTAAGAATATTAATGATAATATAAAAGCGTGTCCCCCTTCTTTCTCCAGAGTGCAGAAAGAATACTTTCAATGCACTCAGATACTGCAAAGGTATATTTATGGTTATTAGGACAGATCAGCCCTCTGTACTGCTGCACAGCAGCAAAACCTACACCATAGACATTTATGTAGAATCCCTGGTGCTTTTAGTCTCAGCCACAGTCTAGTCCTAGATTCCTTTCTCAGAAATCAGAAGCTTCCTAGGTCGAAGTACAGAGCCAACGGTGCTGTCAGCTGGGACTCTCTGTCTCTCAGTGGCCTGTTCTCCCATTCTTGGGGCAGCATGCTTCTTGTACTGCACACTGCTTTTAGGAGGCGTGTTGGCGATGGGAGAGGCTCCAAACGCTTCTTGTTGTTTGCTTTTCTCCAGCAGTGCTTCCCTTCTCTTGGACTCCTGGAACCTGGCAGCTTGCACTGCCGCCATGGCTGCCTCGTCCTCCTGAAGCCCTCTGTTGGCACAGAAGGGACTGCATACTGTCTCCACCAGGCCAATCACGACTCCGACAAAGGCCAGCACACTGCCCAGCACATAAAACTTCATCATCTTCCCATTTGGCTTCTGGGCCATCATTTCCTTGGCCAAGGGGATCAGCTCCTGGACAGTTTCCATTTTTGGCCTTTAAGATAAGGGGGTGACCTGCAAAGGCACAAAAGTAGGGAAAGGGGGAACCCTTAGCAACTTCAAATGGTAGGAAGGGTGCAGGAAGTTGAGGGAGATAAACTGGGGAAAGGACTCCATTTGGGGTTCCATTTCCTTAATACCCAGGTTGTTAGAACTGGAGGGAACTTCAGAAATCATTAAAATTGGTGGGAACTTCAGGCATCATTAAATCCAAAGCCATCAATTTACAGATGGGAAAACTGAGACTCAAAGAGGCCAAGTGACTAGTCTATAGTCATGCAGCTGGACCATGAACCCAGTCTGCTAATACCTTCTTCAATGCTCTTTTCATCACATCATGAGCTCCTCTGGTAAAGGAATGTAACCAACTTCTGTGTTCTGAAGTCCAACCAAGCACCCTTCTTCTCCCGGCTGCCCCTACTTCTAGCCTCTTCAAACAATGCTGCTCCCCACTCTATGCCCAGCTCCCTCCAGCCCTAGTGGCACCTAGGAACACCTGAGTGCTAGCGCTCTCCCTCTTCCCACGTGCCAAGAAGGGAGCCCTCCTACCTGGCCTGGGTACGAAGAGATGACAGCGGCAAAGAAGCTGCGGTCAGTGGGGTAGTATGTTGGTCCAGTGGTGGAATGCCGTCTCCCCCAGGGCAGTTGCAGCACTTCCAGATGAAGACTCTGCAGCTGGTGCGGAGGCTAGAGCCAAGACAGGCTTTTTATTCCTTCTCGAAGCCCCACCCCCTCTTGGGGCAAATTCTCCTAGGGCAGGGGAGAGGAGGAGGCGGGAACGGGGGACTGGAAGAGGAGTTCAGGAAGCTAGAGTGTGAGAGTCTGTGTGTGCGTATTGAGTGGTTGGGAGGGGGTACTCAGGGGAGGTGTCCACGCGTTGTGCACGCCCTGGTTGTGTGAGCTGGTGGTGTCCAGGGAGTAGGGGTCCGAGGACAGCTAGGAGGGCGACAAAAAGAGGGCAGGCAGGCTTCCAGCCCCTGGGGTCCGGCACCTGGCTCCCGAGGTGGAGAACTGATTGGGCTTTTTGCACGTACACAAGATATTACGATAATGACTTTATTTCACGTTTTTGCGGGTGCGCAGCCTTCCTCTCCCACGTTTGCCATTAGCGATTCAAGTGGGACCTTAATAAAGGGCAGTGGGGAGCTTGCTGACCCACCAGCTTTTTCCAGTCTCCACTGGTTCGGTTTCAGTTACATCACCTTCTCAAGAGTTTGTATGGAAGGCGAGAGAAAGCAGAGGGAACGGGCAACAGAGATGAGTTGTTATGAAGGAGTTCCCTGGGCAGTAACGAGGAGGAAAAGTGTGTAAGGGCTGGCGTGGATATATACTCATATACACACACACACACACACACACACACACACACACACACACATACACACACACACACACTTTATTATACATATACTTTATTATATATATACTTCATTATATATACTATATATATATATATATACATATTATATATACTTTATTTATTATATACTTGTATTTTTTTACCGTAACCGTGTGCACATTTGACACGTGTATACTTTTCTGCCCAACATTCTCAGAACAACCCGAGTTCAAATCCTGGTCCTGTACACCTTGGGCAATCATTTCATGTCTCTGAGCTTCAATAACTGTACAGTGAGGGGGTTGGAGTGAATGACAATATTCCTCTTGAATGATAAATTTCTTATGATTCCATATGGGAGGGGGCAGGGATGGAGTTGGGAGGAAGAAGAGGAGGAGGAGAAGGACTAGCTTTTTGATGAGGATTAGACTATCACTTTGGAGTGACTTGTTCATGATTTGGTAAGCGACATTCTGCAACTGGAGCAAAGGGCATCAGTCTGTTTTGGGCAGTTGGGGGGAGTAAAGGGGAGGAAAAGAGGGCGGGGGAGATGAGCTGGCCAGAAAATTGCAAAGGTCAGTGATGCAATCTTGCAACAGACTGACAGCTGTCATTGTGAGCGCTGAGAGCTAGGGCAGGGGGCAAATGTTTCTGGGATCAAAGATTTTAGTCATCTGAAATTTTAACAGGGATTTCTCCTTGTCACTTAAAATGGTTGGTCAGACAATTTGGTTCCTTAAAAACGCACTTTGCTTTAGTTGTCTGGAGATGTTGGGTTAAGAGATCAAATGACAACATATGTAAACCACTTTGCAATTCACCTTAAATTGCTATACAAATGCTATTATTAATCAACATTATTCATTGATAATCAATCAATAAACATTTGAGTGCCTACCATGTGCCAGGTACTGTGCTAAGAGTGGAGCATACAAAAAGGAGCAAAAGACAATCCCTGCCCTCAAGAAGCATATGATCACATGGGTTATTATTATTATTATTATTGTTGTTGTTGTTGTTGTTGTTGTTGTTGTTATAGTTTTAGGGGAGGGGCCAATTATTTGGAGAGTTGGCTCAATTCTCTACTTTGGGTGTATAGAATGGAAATAATTAGTCGATATCAGCAAGAATTAATTAAGCATTTTTCACATGCATACATACAGGGCATATGCAGGATGTGCACCTTAATATCTCAAAAAGTTTGTGCTTTGTGTTTCATTTCATAAAGTTTTAAAAAATTTAAGTTTAGTTAAGTTTCAGTTTATTTAGTTTGATGAATAAAAATAATGCAGTATATTAGTATTCACATAGCAGTAGTGTCAAACTCAAATAGAAACGGATCCCTGAAGGCTGCTTATTGAAGTATTTAGTCATTTCAGTCATGTCCAACTCTTCGTGACCCCATTTAGGGTTTTATTGTCAAACATACAGGAGTGGTTTACCATTTCCTTCTCCAACTCATTTTACAGATGAGGAAACTGAGGCAAACAGGGTTAGGTGACTTGTCCAGGTTCACACAGTGTCTGAGCCCAGATTTGGATTCAGGAAATGAGTCTTCCTGTCTCCAGTCCAGCCTTCTATCCACTGAGCCCCCAACCACCACATATTGACTTAGAAAACCACAAATTAACATTTTCTATGTTTTATTGTATTTTTATTTATTAAAAAAACATTCCCCAATTACATTTTAATCTGGTTTGGGCCCAAAGTGGGTTTGACACTTCTTTCCTATATAGACTGCATACTCAGTAAACATCCACCTTAAAAAATGAAATTTGTTGGGTATATCATCTAATGATATGTATTGCTCTTACCTATGGCACCTATTATGTGCCAGGCACAATGGTGGACATTGGGGAGACAAAGACAAAAATGAAACAGATTTTTTTTCAGACAGTGACTAGTGATCAAATGGGTAGTATTTCCAGTTTTTCCACTTCTCCTCCCTCATCATCAAAGAGACACATGACCTTGAGAACTGTCAAAAATAATATTTGTGTTTTCCTGAAGTAAAGTTCAGTAGTCTGGGCACTGATTGATTATAGTCTGGAGCAATAGCTTTAAGACAATGTGGCCAAGTGGACTACGAGTTCAGACTGCTAGTAACTTGCCATGTGGTCTGGGACAAGGTTTCTTTCTCAGCCTCAATTTCCCCATCTGTAAATGAGAGATTTGGAGGAGATGATTTCGAAGGTCCTTTCCACATTTAACATTTTGTCATTTTATGGTTTACAGACAAGCATATGACTTCTTCCTCCATTTCTCAGTATGTACCCAGAATCTTCTCTCATTTCTGAGTCAATCTAGTCCACACTAGCACTACAAACCTTCCCCAAGAATGTCATCTGTATGGACTTCCTCTGTGTCACCTGCTTTCAAAGAAGCAAGCTAACTTCAGGAAAGTGGGGTCATCTGCACTTCTGCTTTCCTCTGTCCTGCTATGTCATAGAATCTCAGTGCTTCATATCACACAATCTTACTGCCCACCATACACAGTATGACTTGGCCATAAAGTCCCACCAACAAATTTGGCTGTGGAAGAGCCAAGTTTGTGTGGAAGCTGTGGCGATTGTGTGATTGTGGCCACTGGATGTTTTTTCAACAGTTTTAGGTGATGTTAGTGGGACCTTGGGATGGTGTAGGAAGGCAGAAAGGGGTGGAGGTAGATGACAAAAAAATCAGCTATATACCTTTGCACACGCCCAATGTTCGTTATTCATGGAGTGCCCTGCTCACTTATTCAATTTGATTAAATTAAACAAGCCTTAGGTATCTATTGTGTCAATAGTTAATAAACATTTATTAAGCATGTAATGGGGCAACTAACTAGGTGGTATAGTGGAGAGAGAATATGGCCTGCAGACAGGAAGATCTGGGTTCACATCTGGCCTTAGACACTTGCTAGCTGTGCGACTCTGGGCAAGTTATTTAACCTCTGTCTGCCTCCGTTTCCTCAATTGTATATTGGAAATAATAATAGCAACAACATCCCAGGGTTGTTATGAGGATCAAATGAGACAATAATGGTAAATCACGTAAACACAGTGCCTGGCACATACTAAACATTATATAAATGTTAGCTATTATTATTATTATTAATTAAAAACATATTGATGTCTTTTGTTTTCTTATATCAGTTGTTTCTGATGTTTCTTCCCCTTCCCCATTGAACTACATTTCATAACAAAGAAAGACAACTGAAGAAAAATGCCTGATTCAGCAGCTGCTTCTGAACAGCTCTCTGCTCTAGAAGACCCTTATCTGCTGAGAGGAAGCACAGGTTTCTTTGTTCTTTAGAAGCCTTACTGATTTTTCAGTTACTTGGGGTTCATCCTTTTTTATTGACCTTTTAATTTACATGGTTGTATTCATGCATATTGTTTTTCTGCTTCTGTTTATTTCTGCACAAGTTCTTATAAATCTTCTCATGTTTCTCTAAATTGCCCATATGGTCACATATTATTGGCACAATAATATTCCATTACCTTCTTTTAACCACATTTTGTTCATCCAATCCTTAATTGATGGATTCCCACCTTGCTTCCATTTCTTTGCTCTCACAAAAAAAGTATTGCTGTGAACACTTTGGGGACAGCTAGGTGGTACAGTGGATAGAGTGCTTGACCTGGAGTCAGGAAGAGTCATCTTCCCGGTTTCAAATCTGGCTTCAGACAACTTACTAGCTGTGTGACCCTGGGCAAGTCATTTAATCCTGTTTGCTCAGTTTCCTCATTTATTAAAAAAAAATGAGGTGGAGAAGGAAATGGCATTTCTTTGCCAAGAAAACCCCAGATGGGGTCATGAGGAATCAGACACAACCAAAAAAATGACTGAACAATAAATGAATATTTTGGTATATTTTGTGTATCTTCTTTTCCCTGTTGGTTATATTCTTGGATTATATGCTTAGTAAGAAGATCACTGGGCCAAAGGGCAGAAAAAGTTAGTAACATTGCTTGCATAATTCCAAACTGATATGCAGAATGGTTGGGATAACAGCCCTACCAGTTAGCATAAGGCATATCAGCATTTTTCCAGTGGTGCCATATGGCATTAAGTCATGGACCTTTGCTCCTTAAAGAATTAAAGGTGCTGAAATACATGGCATTATGTAATAGTGAAGAATTGCAGAGGAGAAGTGGCATCAAGGAAATCATTAGAGAGATAAATGCCCAGAAAAGGAGATTGGAAAGTTGTATAGTGAGAGGGAGGGATAATCATAGACAGCTATTGTGCTCTGCTGGAATCCATGCAAGGACAGGCGATCTACCAGAAGGCCTCTGGGATGTTGGGTTGGCCACTTGTGGAAAATTTTGGGGAGAATATAGACAATAGCTGAACAGGAAGAAAAGTTGAAAATGGATGGTGATCTGTATCTTAGATTGGATTATAGATTTAGAACTTGAATGGATCCTCAAAGTTATTTATTC